CATGAGAAAGCTTTTGGAAGAAAATTCACGTGATCGACTGGACTGGATTTGACCAATCAGCATGCAGCTAATAATACGAGAATTTTCTATCCTGTTCTCCAAGCTTCGATCAGGCGCTGATTGGATAGGAATTCAGCCAATCAGCGCGTAGCGACGTAGTCATGCTTTAATTCCATCTATGTCCCACTAACAGATAACATTCTGCGTGGTCTTCTACTGACAGAGATGCGATCACCATGTTTTCCTCAGCCGCTACTTGATCATTAATGAGTCGTGACAAAGCGTCTGCTTGACCGAATTGTAGAGTGCATCGATACTGGATTTCGAAATCATACCCCAAAAGCACCAAGGCCCACCGCTGAAGACGATTAGCAGAATGGGCTGGAAAGCCAGATTTAGAACCGAATACTGCTAACAGAGGCTTGTAATCTGTGAGGAACGTGAATCTCCGAGCGTACAGAAACTTTTGGAAACAGCAAACACAAGGGCAAGAACCTCTTTCTCTATCTGGCTGTACTTCTTTTCCGCTGGAGTTAGTGTACGGGATGCATGCATAACGACTTTTTCTGACGCGTCTGGAAACTGATGCCAAATAACAGCACCTAGGCCATATGCTGAAGCGTCTGTTGCTACGATGATTGGCATGGATGGATCGTAGTGTGTTAATTACAATTCCGAGCTAATTATGGACTTGAGTTTACCAAAAGCCGGGTCGCACTCTCTAGTCCAGTTCCATGTGCTATGATTCTTCAGTAGACAACTCAATAGAGCGCGAATATCATGCATCGAGGGAACAAATGCTGAATAATAACTGATTAATCCGAGAAAAGATTGTAATTCCGAGACATTAGTGGGAGTTGGTATCACTTTGATAGCTCGGATGTTCTCAGTATCCGATCTGCGGCCGTCGGCATGAAAGATGAATCCCAAATACTTTACCGACTACAATAAAAACTGGCATTTCTCTGAGCGTAGCCGGAACCCGTTGTCACTGATGCGTTCTACTACAAATGTCGTGCGTTCCCGTAGCTGTTCTAACGTCTTCGAAACAATTAAAATATCATCGAGGTATGCCGCGACCCCTGAGATATCTGATCGGATAGTAAACATTAGTTGCTGGTAGATGGGGCAGTCTTAACTCCAAAAGGTGGACGGTTGTACTGGGACAAACCACGATGAGTATTGATAGTAAACAGCTCTTTAGATGCTTCATCGACTTCCACTTGCAAATAAGCATCAGCTAGATCGAGCTTTGCAAAGAACTTTCCCACATTCAGCATAGTGAATAGATCTGCTGGGACTGGCACAGGTTCATGATGCTGTTCTAGAGCTGCGTCGAGATATATTCCTATTAGTTAATTTCTACTGGTCAATTTTATGATCGTCCTAGATATCAATGTCACGTGCTCCAATGTTGTTTCTTATTAGTCATCCTGAATTTCAATGTCACTTCAAATGTTGTTTCTTATTGGTCGTCTTAACTGCCAATGTCACAGACTTCGATGATGTTTCCTATTCAACCTGAATGTATAAATACGCATTATCTGTAACATTCTAGGACCAGGACCCGGTCCCGGATCCCTAGCCCGGGATCCTGATTCTCTTCTGGACTCGGACCTCGTACTTTCTGGATGTTTGTAGAATACCGGTTCTACTTCATATCAAGTCTTCTTTTATTCAAGTAAAGACCCTGAGTATTGTGGAGCAAGTTCATCGCGAACTCGGTCACGCAGGAGAACGAAGAGCTGAATATGCTGTTCGCCAGCGCTTTTGGTGGCCGTCTATTCACGAATATGTAACTGAATTCTGTAAAAACTGTAACACGTGTTGCCGCATAAAATCGCGCAAGCAAACACCACGTGCACCGTTAATGCCGATGGGAACAACTGGACCACACCAGCGAGTTGGCATCGATATTATGGGACCGTTGACGACGACAAAAAAGGAAATCGCTACATATTAGTTATGGTAGATTATTTCACTAAATGGTGCGAAGCAGCACCCATCCCGCAGCAAGACGCCCTAACTGTCGCACGGGCTTTCATTGACCATACGGTTTCCCGTTATGGTGCCCCACTCTCACTCTACTCCGACCAAGGCTCGGCCTTTGAAAGTCATCTCATTGCCGAAATATGCAAGTTATTAGGAATAAGGAAGACGCATACTACCGCATATCACCCAGAAGGTAACGGCCTAGTCGAAAGAACAAATCGAACCATTAAAGCTATTTTATAATCGTTCATCAGCAGATCGTCATCCGAGTTGTGGAATGAGGTGCTTCCTCAATGCATGCTAGCTTATCGGACATCAGTATATGGGTCCACGGGATTCTCACCTGCTATTTTACTATTCGGGCATGAACTACGCCTCCCGGTAGAGATACGGTCGCCTTTGCTACCGTACGAAGAACAAGAACACGTACCGTACATCCGTACTCTCCGTAACCGCCTGGCTGATGCGTACCGCTTAGTTAACATCAACTCGCGCAAGGCTAGTGGTCATCAAAAAAACATGTACGGTCGTCAGGTGCAAGGACCAGTGTATACAGTTGAAGATCGTGTTGGGTTACGCCGCCCCATGGCATCGATAGGGAATTGCAGCAAATTCCACCAGCCTTGGCACGGCCCCTTCGAAATCGCCCTCATCCGATCCCCCACGACGTTCGTGTTACTTAACTCGCAACGACCTCAGGACGACGTAATAACGGTGCACTACAACCAAATAAAGCCAGATCGGACAACAGTGCCTGCTGATGCTCGGTTCACAGATCCACCAACTGCTACTAGTTTTTATGAGATACCGGCTGAAGGAAGAACAGCATATCCTTGTCCGAGACCAGGCACTGAGGACAGTGCCTCAATAGGAGAGGGGGTGGTGTGACGGAGTCAAAATCACGTCTTCACGTAAACACGTCAACTTGATATACTTGAACTATTACGAGTTCACCTGGTCGGAAGAGCAGGGAGAGGATCGAGGATCCGGCGACACGACGTGCTACTCTGATCCGATTATCCCAACCCCCATTAAATAAAAGAAGAAGACTTGATATGAAGTAGAACCGGTATTCTACAAGCATCCAGAAAGTACGAGGTCCGAATCCAGAAGAGAATCAGGATCCCGGACTTGGGAACGGAGATGAGGACCAGTCTTGTGTACTTCTGAGCGGGTCGGCTTCTTCTTATATGCCTAATGGGACATCTGCTAATGTTAGCTGTTTGAACCAATATAAGAGATTGATTTTAGTTCGGCTATCGGATTGAGCTGAAGTGAGTTGTACTGGATGTAGCAGGGGGCACAGCTACTCTGGTTAGTTGACAGATACAATACACAACATCAGATTGACCTGATCCACCATAGTCGTGTCACGATGCAGCTTGGTATCAATCAACATCTTCATTAGTTCAGCTGCTGCCTCGGGTAATAATTCAAGTCTCAAAGGATCGATGTGATCCCATCCAAATGTTAAGTTCGTTACTAGGTACGCTTGAAGCTATTACGAGTTCACCTTAGTCGATAAACGCGAACGAGACAATTACCAGCGTCCAGGTAGGCTACCTTGATCCCAAACTGCAAAACAGAAGTCTTGATAAGCGTAGAAAGTATATTCTACAACACCCAGCAAGCACAATGCAATCAAGCACACAACTCTCGTTTATTTATACATCATAGAAACGTCCTTGGGACAGTCACAAAAATAGCACACTAAAATACATGAAATCCAAGTGAAGGCATTTATCAAGCGGACTCTGGGGATCTAACATCCCCAACAAGTAGGAGGCCTGGTGAACGCCACCTAAGGTTGACGGTTCAGGCGATAGGGTAATATGAGGTCTCACTAGATTAATAGTGTCTGAATAGAAAGCTTTCACAAGGTGTATGTACTCCTAGGTACGCCTTTTAATGGTGGGCTCACAATTAGTGCTAGCTTTAGAGCCACTTTCAATTCAGAGGATGTCCTTACCTTTTGATTTAAATTGTCGATAGATGTCACGGTATCTCTTCAAGCTTTTTTAGGATGATCTGCTTCCGCACAAACGATTAAATGCCTCACTAATTCTTCACTGAATGCACCTTCAATTAGTCCATCTTCAAAATGACATCGAAGAGCTCTTTCTACGCCCAGTAATACGGAAAGAATAGCTCGCTCTTATTAGGGCATGGCCAGAGTTTAAAGCATGTATTCCAATAGAAATAGCTGTCTCGAATCAATCCTCGTCAAATATTGCTATTGTCAATATGATCGGTCAGTGTAATTCATAGTGTTGACGTTGAGGGTCGCCAGGACAGAAAGTAACTTTCATCGTACTTAAATCTCTTACATTCTAAGAAAGATCAGTTACCTGTGGAAAACTGCAGCGGAGTGGTACCGTTATCTATTCAACAAATCGGAACATCATCAGACCCACCTAAATGTTTTTTTTTCAATTTGACTTGACATACCTAACGTGAAAGTGAAAATCACTTGCTACTACTTAGTGGTAGTTTAAGAGGCATGAGCGACCTTACAGTTCAAGGAACAACTGCTTGAGACCGACCACATAAGATCTTTTTGCGTCAAGTTGTTAATGTGTTAAACTATTTTCATGTAACTTATCATAGATAGTAGGGACACAGTTATCTGCAAACTGACTAAATAAGCAGATATATAAAATCGATCATTCTTGATTTAAAAGTGCATAGAGTACTGACAACTGAAGATACATACATTTCTTGTCAGTCAGTAAGTTACAACGTCGAATTTCGTGCGTACGTACGTACGTACATCAGTCCAAGTTGCCATACCACATTAGCACAGACACATCGGTTTCACATAGTACGCAATCATAACATCTACATCTATATCAGATTCATGAAATAATAATATGCCACGCTGAATACTTGCTTTTCTAGTAGTCAGAAAAACAGAACTTCTAGTTACATACTACTAACCATTTTCAGTAGTGTATCATCAAGTGAACAAAAGTTGAAGATTTTCACTCAAACATTGTACATTTACTTACCTCCAAAAGGATTTTCTTTTGACCATAACAATATTCTTACATATTCTATACAGTGTTCTGGAAGACGTGGAGTATGAGCTATAGTACATAAAGGAAAATTGGCTGGTGGAGGATATAAGTCAAGTGTACATTCTAGGCATCCAGTTAAACCATACAGAACAACAAGCACATGTCCTTTGAATCCTTCTGTTCCACCATCAACAAGAGGTATGACAGTATTTGGATCTGGTTGGCCATCTGAATCATAACGAACTAGACTTGCCTAAAATATGAACACACACACACACACAAAAACAGACATTTAACAGACAGTATGGCAATTTTAAAAATATTTAAAAGTCAACCCCAACACGTGAAAATAATATGTGAGTTAAATTATAAAAATCTGATATATTTAAAAGTATTTCTTCCAACCTGCTTTGTTTTGTAGTGTAGGAGTAGGTTGGAAGAAAGTTAGGGGCGGACAAACCAAAACATGGCAGAAATCCATGAAATCATTGACGAGTGGACTTAGCCATGTCGGTAATTGTTGACTACCTGGTTGGGGTCTGCGAGATGATAATAATCGATGGTTAGAGACCTTGAATGACATGGCTTGAAATCGTTTGCAATGGCGCCGGTGCATTTATTCTTTGTGTTCTCTCAAATCCTAATCTTCTGGATTCTTCAACCCCTCTACTTTTGACTTTCTAAACTTTTCTCACTGAATCATACTTCTTGAATAATATCTTCTAATCCTAACCTCTCCGATTACTTCTAATACCTTTACAACCTCTTCTACTATTGGATTTGAATTGACAATTACATCTCTGTTCTGATGTGGTATGGCGACATGAACTGATGTACTTACGTACGAAGTTCTACGTTGCATCTGTCTGTCTGTCTGTCTATTGTATGCATTTTAGAAATAATTATTCACGTACTGAGAAATAAGAACTGGTGTACAGTACGTGACGTTGTAATCCAGAGTAGTCAAGTGATTTAGTTTCTAAGCATAACCTATAAGTGGAAGTTTATTACTGTGTACCTCAATCAGTTGCGACGTAGAACATGGTACATATATGCGTCAGTTCACGCTGTCATACTACATTAGCACAGAGAGATTAAGCTGTCAGTTCAAATCCCATAGAAGTAGAGGTAGTAGGAGTAGTAGTATTAGAGGTAATCGAAAAGATAAGATATCGAAGGTATGATTAGGAGGAATATAAACCAATGAAATAAACTTAACTCGACGGATGTCAGTCAGTCAGATGCAACGTAGAACTTTGTACATAAGTACATCAGTTCATGTTGCCATACCACATCAGCACAGAGAAGTAATCGTCAATTCAAATCCAATAGTAGAAGAGGTAGTAAGGGAATTAGAAGTGATCGGAGAGGTTAGGATTAGAAGATACTATTCAAAAAGTATGATTCAGTGAGAAAAGTTTAGAGAGTCGAAACTAGAGGGGTTGAAGAATCCAGAAGATTAGGGTTTGAGAGAACACAAAGAATAAATGTCGACGGATGTTGTTACCTTGATGTGGTGGTCCAGTTAGCCTATCATGATGATCCTATATGTTGTCTGGAACACCTGTTCCTTTAGGTCTTACCATGCCAAGCAAGTCAATTGGAGGACGGTAAGACCAAAGGCAACAACTTCAAGTCTGAGAGCGAATTCGTACTGTTGACTATAAAGGGGGCGGGTCTGCGAGACAATCATAACCTATGGTTGGAGACTTTGAATGACATGGCTTAATGGCGCAGAAGCATCCATTTTACGTTTTCTCCCGAATTCCAATCTTCTGGATTGCACAAGACCTTTATTCGAACTGACGCATTGCTCACTCGGTGATCCCAGAATACACGAGTAATGCTTCGGAAACCCCTATGATCGATTGCCGGTAATCTACAAAAACCCTCTCTTCTTAATGACCAAGTTTCACAACAAATAAAGTCTCATCAGAACCGATGAGACTTAGAAGATAAGTGAAGCCGCTAATACACTCCCAACTACGTACCTTGTCCTCGGAAAATCACGTAATGGCATTCACTTAAATTAATATAGACATGGATTGCTTTCGAATGTTAAGAAGACCTGTAAGTATCTTAAATACAAAGTCACTACACTTCGTTGCAACAGGACTAGGTGAGGTAAGCATAAAACGCCTGTTATAGCGTATATCATTACCTTCAAATTAAGATTACATTAGACATGATTTTGGTGAACTACATAGGGTAAGCAGAGTCAGTCAGTCAGTTGCAACGTAGAACTTCGTACGTGTGTACATAAGTTCATGTTGCCATACCACATTAGCACAAAGACGCAAATGTCAAATCAAATCCCATAGTGATAAAGATAGTAGAGGTATTAATGATAATGAATAAGACTTGGGTTCGAAGATATTATTCAAGAAGTATAATTCAGTGAGATAAGGTTAGAAAGACAAAGATAGAGGTGCTGACGAATCCAGAAGATTACGATTTGAGAGAGCTCAAAGAATGGATGCACTTGCGCCATTGCAAACGATTTTGAGCCATGTCATTCAAGGTCTATAACCATTGGTGACTTTCGTCTCGCGGACTCCAACCAGGTAGTCTACATCTACCAACATGACTCAGTTTACTAGTCAGTGACTTCATGGATTTCTGCCATCTTTTGGTCTGGCCGCCCCTAGCTTTCTTCCAACCTATTCCTACACCACAAAACATAGCTCGTCGAGGCAGTCAGTTGTTAGGCATACGTAACACATGTCCCAACCACCTCAACTGATGAAGTTTCACCACTTCATCTATTGATCTGCCATCCTTACCTAGTACTCGTTTCCTAACGACAGCATTGCTTACTCGGTTGTCCCACGATAAACGAGCAATGCTTCTTAAACATCTATAATCGAATACTAGTAACCTACGAACATCTACTCTTAACGGCCATGTTTCACAGCCATATAGGAGAACGGAGAGAACTGCTGCACAGTACACTCGTCCTTTGGTTAGCGAACGGATATCTCGCCTGCTCCATAAGTGACGCAGGTTGGCAAAAGCCAATCGAGCCTCAGGGTAAGCAGAATCTTGACACAATTCGTTTGCAATTATATAGAGTACCATCGTAAACTAACAATATTATCGCTTTTCTTTTCTCGTTACAAAATTAGGTTTTACAAAACGAAATCTATCGTAAACACAGACGTGGAATAGATTAGTAATGATGATCACATTGTTTAATACAATATATTCAGTATAATAAAAAAATTCTTTGCATAAATTACTTAAGTTTGTTCCATTTTCTACCGACACAAATATACTGAAAATAAGCAGAATTAAACGAAACTTTCCTGAAATAACATTTTGAAAAAATTAGTAAATGAGTGTGTATCGACTAGCAAAAGGTTTTTGGTTAGGTCTATAGTGACAACCTTTTTATTTCACATTATATGTACCAGATACGGAACTTGTTGAAACTTTTCAGTGGGTACATGTTATTTAAAGTCACTAACCATAGGTTCCTATTGTCTAGCGGACCACAACCAGGTAGTCTACACTCACCAACATGACTCAGTCCACTTGTCAGTTACTTCATGGATTTCTGCCATGTTTCGGTTTGCCATTCCTAGCTTTCTTTCAGCCTACTCATACACCACAAAACATAGCTAGTCAAGGCAGTCAGGTGGTTAGGCATATGTAACACATGTCCCAACCACCTCAACTGATGAAGAGTCACTATTTCATCTATAAAGTGTTTATATAAGTCATACATTTATATAAACACTTTATATGAAAAGTTAGGCAAAATGTTTCCCAGATATTAGAAGTATAATTTAGTCTATAATAGGAGATTTTCGACATAGCTTCGCCCATAGTCTCCATGAATGAAATCTATTAAAAGATGTTGTTTTCAGCAGATACATTTTACCACATATATCTGGCGACTTTTTTAACGCTTAATATACACCTCTAATTTGCTTATACACTAGGAAATGTTTAGTAACGAAATATATATAAAACAATACATAACAAACACACCAGCATAGAATTAATCCATCGCCGAGCTATAACTGAATCAAGACCACAAACAACAGCATTAAATTGTTGATAAAATGATGCACCAAAGTCTTGAATCTTCTTGTAATGTGGAATAACCTTGCATGTTGGAATGCGGCGCATAATAAAATCAGCAGCAACATTGGCTTTCGGTTTACCGACATCATGAGATCGGAATAAAAATTGTCTGTTCAAATTAGAAATATCAATTATGTCCATGTCTATAACTTCTAAATGACAAAACCCCATCATAGCCTACATTCAATAATGATCACAAAATGGAAACCTACAAGGTTTTTCAACAGTTCACAACCCAAACCTCCAGCTCCAATGACAAGGATTTTTACATGTTCTCTAACCATGCTTAAGAGCTTGAAATTTTTTGGAATTAAAAATTGCACAAACTTCATTGGATGGTTCAAATTCTGATCGATGAAATGGACCAGAACGTTCAAGAATGCATTTCAAGTTGTTCCACTTTTTATTGTCAAAAATCGCAGTAGACATTGGTACAACGTTTGTTCTGTTGAATGTTTTCTTTATGGGCTTGTTTGCTTTTCAAATATAAAATGATACACCAAAATCACTTTAGTGATTTGATTAACCTCTAATAAGAAAAATCTGTAGCAAGTGAAGAAAGAAATTAGATATATTGATTTCCAAAGAGTTAAAAGTTTTGAGCAAAAACCTGCAATACATGAATTCCATTATATAAAGATACGGGAGTTTCTTCTCTTTAACCAAATAACAAATAACATAATCAGCCTACAATCTTTTAGGGAAAGGCAATCCTATGATCATTGAATATCACAAAATGATTCAGATTTATTGCCACTACAAGTGATGCAAGTTAGCGAAAGCCAATAGAGCCTTCTGTATTCGTGCCGAGATTTCGTTACACATCAAGCCATCAGCACTGACGAGACTAAGCGATCAACATGCTCAACTACTTCACTACCTACCACTAGTTTATGTGCCGATACAAACTAATCCTGAAACAACATTTTGCATTTCCATGAAGAGAACCACATTCCGAACGTGCTTTCATTGTTGCTTATTCAGAAGACTGAATTTCAATAACTGTGAGAACCAGGACAGCAGTTTTATGTAAGCTAAATGAAACATTTTATCCAGATTATGCGCGATATAACCAATGTGTAACACTAAATATGTAACCTATATATCGCCTGTGACAGTTAATTGATGAGATGAAATATAACTCAGAGTGGTCATAGGATTTTCTCATGCAGAAAAGCAATGTTTCCAGCTGTGTACTCTAACCATGGCTTATAAAACTTTGTTTTACCATCTAGGTTGCCGATAACAGTTTAAAGTAGTTGCGTAACTAAGTAAATGCTCATTAGCTTTAAACTTGCCTAGTCATCGGGTCCTGATGGGTCATACCCACAGAGTCGAGTAGAATTATAAAATCTGTTAACCTCTGAGCAATATTAGTTTTGGAATAAGCATTCCTGCCTAACTAACTTACTAGTTGAGATCGGATTAGGCAGCAGCTTACAATAATAGTGTGTTTTCCTTGATATTCATAAGTTTTGGCAAAGCATATGATAAGATTTTTCACTTAAGGCTTATGTAGAAGCTCTCGAGTTGCGAAAGAGCAGATGCCATTAAAGAGTAGATAACAAGCTTACTCTGTAGCCAAAAACACTATGTGAATAGAAACCGTTTGAAAGTGTATCACAAGGGACCATTTTAGGTTAACTATTTTCTTCGTTAACTTCGCCAGTAGAACCTTAGGGGCTACTGCCGTTCCCAAGCCCGGATAAAGGAGGAGGGTTGGACATGGGGTTGGCGACCCCATTCCGTTGAAATCTCACTTGCCAAAAAAACGCTAACCAGAAAAAATAATAATTCAAACCATTTTAACTCTGCCTTGGGAGTTGGAAGAAGAATTATGACGTCTCGTGATGAAAGCCGAGTTCCCTCGGAAGTCACGGGGCCGATGCCTCTTCTGACAACCAGAGCAACCATTTTTTTAGGTACATGCAACGTTCGTACATTGTGGGAGACTGGAAGACTATTTCAAGTTGCGGCAGAAATGAAAAGATACAACCTCGAGGTGCTTGGAATCAGTGAAACGCATTGGACACAGGTAGGACAACTGAGACTAGATTCAAGGGAACTGCTGTTATACTCTGGTCATGAAGAGGAAAACGCTTCACATACACAAGGAGTTGCACTGATGCTGTCCAAACATGCACAAAAGGCACTGATAGGATGGGAATCTCGTGGACCCAGGATCATTAAAGCACCCTTCAAAACAAAGAAAGAGGACATTACAATGAACGTCATCCAGTGTTATGCACCTACCAATGACTACAATGACGACGTTAAAGATCAATTCTACGAAAGGCTGCAGTCAATCGTCGAGAAATGTTCACCAAAGGATTTGACGATTCTTATGGAAGACCTGAATGCCAAGGTTCGCATGGACAACACTGGATATGAAGACATCATGGGACGACATGGACTGGGAGAAAGGAACGAAAACGGTGAGAGATTTGCAAACCTATGTGCCTTCAACAAACTGGTCATCGGTGGCACAATATTCCCGCACAAACACATTCACAAAGCCACATGGATTTCACCGGACCACACTACTCAAAACCAAATTGAACATATCTGTATCAACAAAAAGTTCAGAAGGACCACGGAGGATGTGAGAACCAAGAGAGGAGCTGATATAGCTTCAGATCACCACTTGCTGATCGCCAAAATGAAACTGAAGCTAAAGAAGCACTGGACAACGGGGCAGACAACATCACACAAGTTTAATATGGCCTTTGTTCGGGATACTGTAAAGCTCAACGAATTCAAGATAGCCCTCACCAATAGGTTCCAGGCCTTTCAGGATCTACTCAATGGAGAGGAAGCAACATTGGAGAACAATTGGAAAGGGATTAAGGAGGCAATCACTTCAACATGTCAGGAGGTCCTTGGTCGCAAGAAGCACCATCACAAGGAATGGATCTCTGTTGGTACACTTGAAAAAATTCAAGAAAGGAGGAACAAGAAGGCAGCAGTAAATGTCAGCCGAACAAGAGCAGAGAAAGTTAGGGCGCAAGCCGAGTATACAGAAGCAAACAGGGAAGTTAAGAAGAGCATCAGAGCTGACAAACGAAAATATGTGGAAGATCTAGCAATGACGGCGGAAAAGGCTGCAAGAGAAGGAAACATGAGACAATTGTACGAAACAACAAAGAAGCTCGCCGGAAACTATCGTAAACCAGAACGACCAGTGAAAAGCAAGGAAGGGAAAATAATCAGCAACACTGACGAACAGCGAAATAGGTGGGTAGAGCACTTTAAGGAACTATTGAATCGACCAGCTCCACTGAACCCACCCAACATCGAAGCAGCATCCAAGGACCTGCCAATTAATATTGGCGCACCTACGATTGAGGAGATCAGTATGGCAATCAGACAAATCAAGAGCGGCAAAGCAGCAGGACCAGACAACATTCCAGCAGAGGCAATGAAAGCAGATGTAGAAGCAACTGCAAAAATATTTTACATCCTCTTCAAGAAGATTTGGGATGAGGAACAAGTACCATCAGATTGGAAAGAAGGATGCCTGATCAAAATACCAAAGAAAGGCGATCTCAGCAAGTGTGAGAACTACAGAGGCATCACTCTTCTTTCCATACCAGGCAAAGTCTTCAACAGAGTATTGTTAAACAGAATGAAGGACTTCGTAGACGCCCAACTTCGAGATCAACAGGCCGGATTTCGTAAGGATCGATCATGTACTGACCAAATTGCTACATTACGGATCATTGTGGAACAATCAATTGAATGGAACTCACCACTCTACATCAACTTCATCGACTACGAGAAAGCATTTGATAGTGTGGATAGGAAAACACTGTGGAGGCTTCTTCGACACTACGGGGTGCCTGAGGAAATAGT